CCGCCACTTTTGTCACTTTTTGTGCCTGCATTTTGATGCAAGAAACCCCGGGTAGGTTTATCGGTGCAGTCATGTCTTCTTGAGTTAAAGCTACTGGATCGTTAACGGCATGAATGGTTGCTGCTTTACTATCCAAACATGAACTCATTTTGCGTGTATTTTGGCCTTTTCATGAATGCAAGTGGGAAAGAGGACCAGCAGGAACGGTAGTGGTGAATCATGGGGCCGTATCAATGAATAATTGATCGTTCATCGAAAGACGCAATTTTCACAGTGATAAGGAAGTCGACAGAACATAACGAAAATTGGGTATGTCATTTCCGTGTATAGGTTTACTTAGCCCCAGAGCTGAATTTAGGCTACACGCGAATATAGAATATCCTCACAAAACTCCAACCTCGTAGTAGATAGTCAAAATCGCTATTTCGCGGCAAATATTTTTGGCGTACCCATAAGATGTGGTGCAATCGCAGTCCAGAACATCATTTGGGTATACGGTTTCCCAAATGGGGGATAATATTCCGGCGAAATTGCAGCTGCTGTTTCCCGAGTAGTCTTCGAGCTGGTATAACTTTCATGTGAATGTACGCGTGACGCAAGAGTGCGATTTTAAGCACTTAGCTCACATGTGGATATAGAATACCTTGCAAAGTTCCAGATACCTACGTTTGCCGGTTCCAACAAAAATTTGCATTTTTATGCGTTTCTGCCTATATGCATAAAAACGCATATTGTGACGACCCTGTCTGCGTGTGTATGATGATGTGTGTGTGTATGTGTGTGTGTGTATGTTTATGTGTGTGTGTGTCTGTCCGGGCATTTCAACTCGGCAATCAAGCAAGTTCCAGCTCCAAGATTTTACTAGTAGGTTTCCTGGTGAAGTGCACTCCAGAATCGCGGTACCAACTATCATGTAATAATTTCCATCGCAGTCTATGATGTGCCGTTCTCCCAGCCTTCCACTTCATAACACAGAAATAGAGGACATCCAGCCTTTTAATATAATTTTATATATATAAATTCGTTATACTATGTATATTTTTTTATGTTTCATACACATATATTTTTTAATTTATAGCAGGATTACATGTCTAATTTTACGTCTGCATTCAAACAGAAATCGAGAGGAAACCTAATTAGCATAAAGCGGAGAATAGCATTAAGGACTGTGCCACGTCGAAATTAATAGGAGTGTTTGTGCTTGGAGTTTATTGGAATTCTCATGCGCCCTCCCCGTCATTCGACGGCAAACGCATACGATGCTCCTACAGAAGTAAATGAAGCTTATCGTCTGCTTCTCTCCGTGCTCAAATCACCTTTCGAGTTGTGTTTGGATACCATGATACATTAAAAATGCTAATTCATTCAAAAAAGATTTATCCGTCGGTATGTGTCCCTCTCTTTTCTCTCTTCAGAATTCGCCTTTACCTCTTCCCACAGTAGCCATACTATGCTCCTTCCAATGCTGAATCAATATAATGAAAGTAATTCTTCCCTGGCACTGATTTTGCTATATATAAAAGGTCTACCTTCCTCCCGATCTTTAGTGAAAAGCCAATCTGAAAGGCCTTCGCTACGTTTTACGTCTATGAATGGAGGCCCTGGAAGAACGGCGTGCTACTGAAGTGGATGGAAACGAAAAAGCGTCTCACGGTTTCGCCAATAAGTATACGAAACGAAGAACGGGTCCTGCTTATTGGGTCACTTGGGTCACTCGGTGCTATTCTTCAAAGATGACAGCGTTCCTGATGTTCATTGTGCTGCTACAAATGGCCAAAGGCTCAGTAATCTTTTAAAACAATGCTTTTTATGCAGATTTGGACAAACAGTGCCTTTTTGATAGGACTTTGGCATTTGCCAGATTTGAGCGAGTTATTCTGTTCACCTTCTGCTACAGACTGGTTTCTGGCAAAAAACATTTCCCAGAATTGCAGCTCGTGAATCTCTATCAACTTAGTTCGTGGCATGGTTTAAGCATAATGCCCTTTTAGACAAAATTTCTTCCCTTCCACTCATTTTTGCAGCTCATCCCGGACCGAATCTTCGCCCTCCCGCCCAGACTGTGGCTTCCATGTTATCCAAATAATTTCCGCTTTCTCAGTGGTTGCTGAAGGTAGTTACCATCTTTTCACTTTAATTCCTTCGCGCATCCTGCGGCAGTATGAGTGCTTCGAGGGTATTTGATGCTAGAAATTCATTAGTTTTCCCGGCTGTCTTCTTGTTCTCGTTTACAAATGCATGAGCACAGTAAAAATGAAAAAATGTGAACAAAGTCAGATCGGTAGCCTACAACCATAGAGAAGGATGTTCATCCCAATTTTGAAATTTATCCAGTTCTTCTGAAAGATCCATAAACGATTAAAGGAAGGATCTTCGTTATCCAAAGTTCAGAATACAAGCGCATGGAAGATGTAATGGCAATAATGTGCAATAATGATAATGATAACAATAATAATAGCAAGCAAATTTTCCTCTACACGCACTTTCTATGAAAGGCGGAAGCACTTGAAAATTTCTGCCGATGGTTCCCTCAAGTTTCTCGACGAATCATAGCTGTTTGAAAGGAACCTAGTGACGGGTTTGGCTCCTAGGCGTGCCAGTAGCAATTAACGTCAAAGAGAATATGCGAGTTGCAGAGGGATTAGTTATCTCACTGATGGAATTGAAATCTTGACCTTCAGTACGACAGCTCTGCTATCTTCCACTGCGCCATGCCTGCATACTATGAGAGAAATAAATGGGAAAATAAGAGTATGAACTAGCACTGGGTCAAACACACTGTCAAAAGATTTGAATTGCGAATCCTTTTTCGAGTAAAAGGCCGATAAATTGATTTCATCTCTAGGTTTGGCTTTGGCCTTAATAAAAAGGCGAATGCTTTTCAACGATTTTTCAGCTTGCGATTCCAGTTGAGCTGAAGAATCAGACACAGGACGATACAGCCACTGACAGCCACTGGTCACTTCCGGAAGAGCATTGTGCGACATTGGCTACCATAAACAAAAGCACTGAGTATGCTGGTCACAGCCGAAACAGAACTAGCAGTGGTAGAAACTCAGTCACATGTAGTTATTGCAGTAAAACCTTTTCTACTACTTTACGGCTGAAGGATCACTTAAGGACGCACACAGGTGAGAAGCCACACAAGTGCATGCAATGTGATAAGAGGTTCGGATTAGTGGGAAATTTACGGAAGCACTGCAGAACTCATACCGGTGAGAAACCGTTCAAGTGCAGTCACTGCAATTCGTGCTTTGGCCAGAAAACAGGCTTGCAAAGTCACATGCGAACTCATACTGGTGAGAAGCTCTTCATATGCGGCTACTGCAATTCGAGCTTCGGGCTGAAGCATAACATGCAAAGACACATGCGAATCCATACTGATGAGAAGTCGTTCAAATGCCACTATTGCAATTCGAGCTTTGGCCAGAAAACAAACTTGAGAACACACATGCGAACTCATACTGGTGAGAAGTCGTTCATATGCGGTCACTGCAATTCGAGCTTCGGGCTGAAGCATAACATGCAAAGACACATGCGAATCCATACTGGTCAGAAGTCGTTCAAATGCCATTACTGCAATTCGAGCTTTGGCCAGAAAACAAACTTGAGAACACACATGCGAACTCATACTGGTGATAAAACAAGTGCCGCGTTTGTGAAAAAAAGATGAATGACCGAATCTCCTTAATCCGGTACCAGAAAAGCAAAAAACCACAAAGTGAAAACCATAAAAAATTCACATTCCACTTTGTAAAGGTGAACAAATGCCTCTTCTCGGGTTATCTTGAATAAATGTTTCTGAAAGTTGAGAAAACACAATTGCTAACACTACTATAACCACTCGTATGTCAATATTGGCACCTCATTTCAGTCATATTACTTGCATACTCCCACATTTCGGCTGCAGCTAAGCCAGGCTCTTCGATCGTGAGCTGCAAGCCTTCATTAGTACCCACGTTCATTGGTACTCTGTGCACAATTTCCATGGAAGCCATCCATATAATTGCTTATATTCCTAAGAGCACCACTCGCTAATGCACAGCGTCAACAGTTTATCAAAAAAGCCAACAACTTTCTTCACCATCAAAAAATTTTAATGTATAAAAAACGTATATATTTAGGGCTTTGTATCGTTTGTGCAATAACTGGCGTAAGTGAAATACAGGGGGCAGAGTGTAGATAACCAAATCCTTCACTGGTCTGTTCATTGGGGTACATGACAAAACTGTTTCCCTTCAAACGGACCAGCTTTCCCTTAGCTCTGCTGCGTTTTCCCAGAAAATGATTTTTTATACGTCTCCAGAGAGCAGTTTTACTTTTTTAGAAAACCCCGCCTTCTTCGCCGGTCTGACCATAATTGGCGTGTCATGATCTGGATTTGATGTATTTCGCATAGACGATTCTAAACATCAATAGCATAATTTTATCCTCAGAGCACAATCTTAATTGCGAGTTCATTGCTGTTCTTGCACTTTATTAAATACCAAACGAATATTTAGTGCCGCGCATTGGGTTAGCCGACATACAACCATGCTTTTTTGCCTCTTTTGTCGTGAAGCACTCAGATTATAGCAATATCAATTGCCTTAACGCTTAATCGAGCACGTAAACGCATGCACGCATGCACAAGCCCAAAACGGTTTATGCGTTTTTGCATATATGCAAATTGCAACCAAGGCTGGAACGCACCAGGTGAGCCGGAGCGATCATGCGTTTTTGCACCAGACTTGAAATAATTAGGTTAACTGCATGAATTTCGTTTCTTTACACCTACCTTGTGCTCTCAATACCGTAACTCATCGTAAATTTTGCATTAAAAAAATAAACTATATCCGTTTACGGTCGTTTTTATGCGTTTTTTGCAGCAGTGCAGTGCGAACCCAGGCTGGAACGCACCGGACGGGCCCGTGCGATCATGCGTTTTTGCACAGGACTTGAA